CGGGGCATTTTCCGGGGTTAACAAGACCTGTTAGAGACCTATCCGTGGTCGTACCTGTGCAGGGCTATCCATCCTTGTGTCCAGGACTATCAGGCTTCCAGGAACGGGCCTGTTGCTCTGAACAGGCTATAACACTTGTAAGGTCTGAGCATATTCAAGTGCTACGCCGTCGTGTCTCCCAGGGCTTCGCCGGCGCCTTCCAGGCTTCCAGTCGCCCGGGCAGCAAGCGCCAATCCATCCCAGAACCGGTTAGGACTCAGTTTCGCTAATCCCGTACGGTTACCACAGTAGCCAGACCCGAGGCGAGGGCCGTAGGCCCGAGCCCTGCACTCAAACACCGCAGGACTAGGCTCTGTACCTATTCCTAGCCTAGAAACGAGCTCGGTCGCAGTAGTTAGCCTCTGCCGTACACATTACCAGGGGTTCGGCCAGCGCGAAGGCATCGTACACAGCCGCTAGTGCACCGTAACCAGTCAGCAGCCTCCGCCGCACCACGCTAGGCTAGAACGGTAGCAGCGCAGTGCAATCGTCTCCATACGGGCACTGCGTGGGGTCGATACAGCACTAGCACCCTGGGCGCAATAGCCGACGGCCAGCAGCATCAGTTCCTTAGGGGTTTACACACTCGCAAACATTTTCGTCGGGATGGTGTACTGGTCGTAGGGCGGTCCCTCGCCACACCCTTCCCCGCGCTGTACCTACCTGTCTCCCCATGCCCTGCCCATGCGACTGTCTTTACCCGCGCGGCGCGCGCTTGTGTCCCCTGCCTTTCTCCGGCGGCGGCTGCCTCGCTCCCAATGCCATAAACCATACAGCTGCCCTTCCCTGTGTGCGTGATTCCCGTGCAGCCAATTTGCGGGCCTCATGCGGCCTGCCGTGGGCCTCGGTGCCATTCCATGTGCAGTGCCTGCCCCAAAATGCCCTCGGCTGTCCTTACCCGCGAGCCCCTGGCCCTTACATCCAATGCCTTCACTCCTGCATGCACATGTGTCAGCTTTCGGGCAGGGCGTGGCCGCTGGTCGCAAGGCCGAGTGTAACTGAGTAGGGCGGGGTTTTATGCACGCACGCATTGGTGTCGGTACTCGGGCAGGGCAGGGATGCATGCGTACATCACCGCGGTAAACGCGGGCACAATAGGTGTGCGTACCCGCATGGCAGCCGGTAGTCGGGCATGGTGAGTATGCATACATGTAACGGTGCCAGTTTACGGGGCGGGGGGTTATGGATTCAGAATTGGCGTTGATGCGCGGATGGGTGCGATGGAGATGGATGGGACAAGGGTGATCTTGCACGCCGGGGGGCCTGTTCCTGGCAGAACGACTGGATGTCTGCATGCATGTGAGCCGAAAGCTGAGAGAGGCGGGGATGCATGTGCATGTGGGTGCCAGTAACTAGCAGGGCAGGGATGCCTGCATGTTTGGGCGGCATTCGTTCAGCAAGGCGATGGCTGCACGCGCGGGGAGCCATTACTTAGTTATTGTGGCGGTGCATGCCCCAGCGCATGAGCGTGTCATGCACACTGTTGGTGATCCAAGGAGGGACCCGGGTGAAAAGGCAGCTACATGATGAGGAACGTTGACATCGGGGTTGGGGGCTGGAAGCAGGGAAGGGAAGAACGGGCCCTGAAGACTGCAGTGGAGGACACAGACAGATACGGTATGCATGGGGATCTGTCCTGTGCTTCTGTGGCCTGTTGTGTCGCTAGGCTTCGCACATCCGGGCTTTGAGGACGGGGTGTTGGCCTGTGCAGCAGTGGTGGCAATAGCGCTATCTTGTGCTAGCGGCGGGCGGATGGGGCCTCAGGCATCCGCCGCAGATCCGGAGGTCATGCCTGCTCGCATGCACGCTTGCTGTTGGCCAGTGCGGGGACTGCATGGGCGCGCCGGCCTTTGGGCGGGACTTGTGGGCGCCGGTGGTTCAGCAGCGCGAGTATGCCTGCACATGCAGGCGCTGGTAGTTGGACAGTGCGTGGAAGGATGCCTCCCTCTGCCCTAACCCGTGAGGCGCCCCTGCAGCTCACCTGCGTCGCCCCGTGCTTTGCTTGCCTTACAATGCCCTTCCCCGTGCGTCTGCCCTTCCCCGTGCGGCCCTGCCTCTCCCCGTCATTGCCCGTTCCTCGAATTAACGGAACGGATGAGCCTGCCGCTACAATGGTGGTTTAATGGCGGCTACCCCTGTCCTTCCATGCCAGGCGTCTGCCTGCCCTTGCCCTTCCCTTGTATTGACTGCCCCTCTCTGCCATCTTCTCTGTGCGGCCACCCTTCCACGGGCAGCACCTGCCTCTCACTGCTCTTCCCCGTGTGGCGCCGCGAGTGCGGCCTCCCTACCCTTCCTCGTAAAGTTTCTGCCTCCAAGTCCCCTCACGGGCTTCGGGTAGTTGACTTGCACAGGGGGTATCTGCGTGCGCGCATTGGTGTTGGTACATGGGATGCATGCGTTCACCAGCGCGGTAGTTGGGCATGGTTAGTGTGCGTACAAGCATGGGCGCCGGTACTTGGGCATGGCGGGTATGTATGCATGTATCGCATGGGCCGGGTGGGCATGCATTCAGGCGTCGGACATCTGGACATCTGGAAGGGGAGGGTATGCATGCGCATGTGGGTGCCGGTAACTGGCACGGCATGTATGGCCATCACTCGGCTTTGCAGCATACATAAATGTTTGTAGCCATGATTTATCGCAGGCTTTGTTGCCAAATAAGATGCTGTCACAGTTGCTTTACTTGCTTGGGCTTCAGGAGTAGCGGAGCCCGAGCGTGTTGCGTGCGTGTACGCCACATCCCGTCGTTAAGCATTGGACAGGTTTTCACCTTTAGTGTGTACCTTTTCTTTGGCTTCCACAAGCCGTTTGTGCTTCATACCCGTCTAGCAGCCTTGGCGACAATCGCTGCCATTCCTTTTGTGCTTTGAGCATCCTTCTGCATCCTCACGCCCTACATGCATGCGTGCAACCGCATCTCCATGACATCACCTTCCTCCCGCGAGCTACGGGCAGCTCCCGCCGAAGGCGGGCCTTACTAGTCTTGAATGCGCGACTTTATAAGGAGAATCTTGCCATGGGTAAATCACGGGCCCACGGGACAGCACAACGTTACAAAACCGCACTGGCCTTGAGGTACACACAGGATAGGCCCGTTCGGGTGTAAGACAAGTCAGAAAGCATGTAAGCAAGCGCGATGCTTTGTTTCCGCCGACATGTACGACATTTGGGTCGTCTTCTGAACCCTGAGCCTCTCTCTTAATTCGACATGACATTATACTTAAAACACAACAACGAATACAGCGCCGCCTTGTCCGACCGAATCTGTGACCTCGGTGCAGGTACATACATGGGGACCGATCCGTGCAAAGAACCGAAGGGGGGGTCTCCCCGAAATATTTTCAAGCCCTGCGCCTAGTTAGTTATATAACGTACCTATTTATATTATAGTATATAAAAACCCATGCGGCAATCATATCTTTGCTTTCTACCATGTTGGAAGGGCATCCTACTCGCTTTTGCCGAACGTGCTTCCCTAAAGCTGCGAAAGATCATAGAAATGCAACGAGTTAACGTTATGGGTAAAAAGGTGCAAAGTCGTAGGAGTGTCGGGCAACTGTTGGGTGACTTAGCCGCTGCCGGCCGGGTCCATGTGCCCACCTGCAGCTAAGGAGGCATTTTCCATGCCGCCTCCCATCTACCCTAGCGACTCCCCCGACCCGCCCCGGCCACCAATCACCTACGGGCGTGTTCATTCGCCCAACAAGGGTTATACCTTGGCAATCGTGCCGTAAAGAGCCAGGAGCAGGTGTGTCAAAGCCTCACACATTGAAGGAACCTGTTGATGAAGGCATTACTTGGCGTGTCTTTCCTGGGCCCGGAAGAGCATGACAGGGCGTGTAACTCTTCCTAATAGAGGGCAAGAGGGCATATGGATGCTTGGGGCCAATGTCGGCTAGGGAGGGGGGGTCGCGGAAGCCATGGAGGCGGGGAAAAGGAATAGTAGGATAGGAATGGGTACGACCAGAAACCAAAATTTCTATGTCCCATGGAAACAGGGCTCATGGTAGCTATCATTCAACCCTGGGTGCTTCGCAGACGTTATCAGGATTTACATTATGGACCCAGTGAGCGCTTCTCTGACTTGAACTACTGAGATCGCATAGAACGGGCAGCGGGTGTGTTTTGTTTTCGTCACGGAGCTTCAGGCTTTGTGTACACTGTTTACCGGTACATGGTGACCCTTTCCAAAGACATGTTAGGAGGCTTCACGTTTCACTTACTTTTAACAACAGACCACTGCTGCACTGATGCGTCCCACGTACAGACGCAGCTATTCAACTGCTTTCTTCGCTGGATTCCGCACCTCGTCAGCTTAAACCATGTAGCCTTATACCTCAGCTCCGCACACCTTTGCACTATTTCACCAAACAAGCGGCGCAAGTCGAAAGGGCAGTAGCATAAATGTCGCCCGCAAGGACGTCACAAGATCACAGGCAAAGCACATCAAAAGAGAGCTATCTAAAGGTGTTTCATTGCATGTTCTGTCTGCTCTGACTGTACACAAGAGCTTCAAATGCATCATCGCTTCTAAAGCATTCGCAGCAAAACACACCAGCTAGAACCAAACACAAAACACAAACAATGCCTTTGCTACGGAACAAAAAACTCCGCACGAGGGAAGGAAAGAAGCATCGCCCGCAGGCCCGGGTGTGCAAGCACCCAAACCTGCCCTGTGAAAACAGGACACAGCAGCTGCTCCCGACACCTCCCAACGCCCCTTGCACGAGCCCCTTAAGGTCGTGTTTTGAGCGAAGTCATTAATAGTAATACCCTTTACTTGAAGCTTACTACCCCCATGCCCCCTTAATCAGCCTCATCTCAACAGCCTGGCCCTGGACCTAAACACCGCGCTCATCTCTCGTCACCGTGACCCTTACCCTTCTTTTCCCCTCTCGCTACCATTCCCTCGCACCCCCTACCTCCCCCCAGATGCCCCCTACTCACCCATCCCCCATCCCCAAACCTCACCTCGCCGCAACGACACCTCCCACGTACGGTATCTACACATCGTCCGGCAGGATGCCCTCCGGCGGACACACCATCACCGCCGACTCGTACCTACACACGGTACCCGGCTTGAGCCTGCGCGGCTGCCGCGGCTCCTCCGCCACATCGACCACCATCTGCACGCGCTTCAGGTTGCTGTGGTTCAGCACCAGGTGCAGCACCCGGTTGTTGAGCTGCGGCGAGGTTGCGGTGGGGTTGGGGGGGGTGAATACTAAGGAACCTGACGAACTGTATGACGCGGCTTTGCCATGGGTTGCTGATTGAACCCGGGTGGGGTTGGGGGGAGACTTGGCGTTAGGGGGCGCTCCAGGGGGAGGGTGCGTGGGGAGCGTGGGGTGAGGGAGTAGGGCAAGGATGAGGTGCAACGGTGTAGCAGGCAAGGCAGAGAGATGTTGGGCTGGGTAAGGCAAAGGTGAAGCAGGCGGGTGAGGAGGATTAGAGCGGGGCGGTGGGGATAGACCGGTACACCCCAAAGCGGAGCCGTGTTGCGAGGAGCCATGCGGGGCGTATGCTAAGAAAACTGGCCGCGAGTCGTGCGGGGCGTGGATGCATGGTGGCAGGCGGGAAGTGGTGAGGTACGATACTGGGATGCCCCCCCACCCCACCCACCTCAAACACCATGCCCTCCTCCATGGGGATAGCCACGCAGTCGTCCTCCCGCAGCCCCTGCTGCTGCTCGCCCAGCCGCCGGTTGCGCCGCGCTGCCGCCTTGCCTTCCTCCACGTAGCTGCGCTCCAGGTTGGGGCACACCTGGAAGCTGACGTTGGAGTTGGAGACCACCGGCAGGTGGATGCGGTGCGCGAACTGCGAACATGCATGCATGTGGGGTGAGGGAGGGGGGAGGGAGGGAAGGGGGAAGGAGCGGGGTCGGGTGTACGGTGGAGGAGAGGGAGGGATGTGGGTGAGAGGTGTGTAGTGCAGGCAGCAACAGGGGAGTCGAGGATACGGTAGCAGACTAGCGTGTTTTGCGGTAACAGCGAGAATCCTGCGGTCAGCGAGGAGGTGTGCCGCAGCAGCAAAGGTACTACAGCTGCTGTACTGCTTGCTGCTGCTACGGGCTCGCCCACGCACCCGAGCGTATCCGCCCATGTCCTTGTGCATCTTGATCTCAATGCCGGGCTTCATGCGCGCAAACTGCAGCCGTACGATCTTGTTCATGTCGGCCGGACCGATGATCTGCAGGCGGGGGCAAAAAAGGCATGATAAGTGCAACGACGGCGTCCCAATCCCAAATCCCGACTCATGCAGTGAGCGCATGCAGGGGGGGCAGGGAGAAAACAACTAACTGACCGAGGGATAAGGCAGGTGGGGGCCAGGCGGCAATGCGGTGTGCCGAGTGGTACGGTGTGTCACATAACACAGCGGTAAGGAATGTGCTAGGTACACCGTGCGCAGTGGTTTACCGCGTGTTATCGCAGAAAGGAGACGTTTGCTGCCGGAGGGGCGTCTGACGGTGAGACGGGGTAACATTAGGTGGAAGAAGGGCGGACATGACCCTGGAGGAGGCGTGCAGGAGGCAACTCCAAGTGCGCTAACGCCCCCTACACGCACTACCCAAACTAACCCCGATGGCAAAACCCGATTGCCTGTATGCCCCTGCCTCCCTCACACTCCTCCCAACCCCCCACCTCCTCACCTGCTCTACAAGCGGCTCCACTACGTCTTTGAAGTACTCGTAGTAGGGGAAGCGGTAGACGTGCTCCGTGCTCTGATCTGAAAACACCATGAACAACGCCTCTACGCCGGGCTTGAACCTGGCGGGGGAGTGAGCGAGGGTAAAGAGGAAACAACTAACTGACTGAGGGATAAGGCGTCAACATGAGCGACGGGGAGGGTGGCGTGGGGCAGGGGGCAGGGTAAGGCAACAGGGCGAAACCGTAAGCAGACCGGCTAGGACCGGCAAGCTCACTTGCTTCATGTCGTGTGCTCCCGTGCACAGGTGTTGGGACCGAGACAGCAACATTACTCTCCCGCGCGCCCCCCCTTCCGCTTTCTTACGAATGCAACCGGGGCACATGCAACCCGGGGGGTACGCATGCACGCATGCATTCACGGAAGGACATGCACGCATGCCCGCCCGACCCCGGCCTCCCCAACGCACTTGTCCATGTTGTCCTTGCGTCCGTCCACCGCCGCGTTCTCCCGCCGCTGCCGTACCGGGCTCCACATGTCATCCGGCATGTTGATCACACGCTCCTGAGGCAGGAGGCGGTAGCGGGAGGCGGGGGGTGGCGTGGAGGGAAAAGGAGATTGCCGTACCCAATGGGTGGCGTGGAGGGAGGAGATTTTACCGGTAGGTGGACGCCGCACCCGTTCACCCCGCCCCGCCCGCCCAACCCGCAACCAACACCATCACCTGTACACGCACACGCACCCACCCCCACGCAATACGTGATTCAGTAGCTCTTCTTCTTCCTCTTCAACCCACCCGCAGCCTCTCAATGTTGAGCCGCATGAGCGGCAGCGACAGCCCCGCCTCCCAGCACTTGGCCGTGTCCTTGGTCTTCAGGTCCAGGTGCGGCTGTCCGGAAGACCAGTAGCCGCTCACGACAGGCGGGTAGCCCATGTCAATGAGCTTCTGGGTGGCCGCTGCGACCCGTGGGTCGTTGATGCCGGTAGCCACGCCGCCCAGGCCAGTCATGCTGATGCTGGAGTTACCCGCAGCTGAAGTGGTGGTGGAAATGGCTTTGCGGTCGTGGGCGTGACTGTGGGAGGAGGAGGAGGAGGACTTGGATTTGGAGGAGGAGGAGGACCCGGCTTCATGCTTCGTGGCTTGCTTCTTCTCCTGATGATGCTGCTGTCCTTGCTGCCGACGGTGTTGCTCTTCTTGTTTTGCATGTCCGTGCTCGCCCGCCCCCTCCTTGTTCTCCCCTGCTGTTGCTGCTGCTGCTGCCGCGACGCCTCCTTCTGCCGCCATGGCCATGTAGGTGGACTCCTCCCCCAGCTGCGGCGCTGCCACGATGTTCAGCAGGCCGTGCGAGGGCACCCGCCGCCGCCACAGCAGCGAGCCGCTAGCCAGGTCCACTGCAGCGAGCTCGGCTGGGGGAGGGGGGCAAGAGTGCGGAGCGGGAGGGGGGCGGGAGGGGGGATGGATATTGGGGTAGGACGGGACGGGCTGGGAGGGAAGAGGGCTCGGGATGGGAGGGGGAACGGCTTCTTGGGTAGGTTAGTTTTTTGGGTAGATGGCAAGGTGACATGGCCGCGCAACCTTTCCAGCGTCCTACATCTACGGTATACGCCCCCAGGCATCGGCCGTTGCAGCCGTTCCCCGTCACCCGTGCGCCCTTCCACCCAGTCATGTTCCCCATGTCTACCGGGTATGCTAACCAGGGACAGCGCAACAGCGCCCCTTCTCCCCCCCTCCTCCCCTCCATTAGACGCGCAGCAACGCACCATCGTTGCCTGTGCTGTCCCTGCTCTCCCGGCTGCCCCACACGTTCACCCCAAAGTACGCCACGCCGTCCACCACACACAGGCCCTTCAGGAACTTGGAGGGAGACTCGTCGGCGGGCGCCTGAGGGCGGGGGATGGCGGGGGATGGCGGGGGAAATTGATACACTGGCCCTGACCGCACTTTGGCGGGGGAGAGACTGCAGTGGGCCTAGCATGCAGCTCCTACCTACCGTACCGGTAGAATACCGGCACCATGCCGCCTCAGACCAGAGTGTGCAGGGGACTGTTCAGACACCGGGCACCCCCCTCTCCTCCCCTCTACCTGTCCCCTCTGCCACCCTCAGCCCGACCCTCCCCCTCTCCCACGCCCCACCCCCACCCCTACCTGCCACCTGCTGTGCACCTCCCCGCTGCCCGCATCCACCTCCACCAGCCCACCCGCCTCCGAATCAAGCACCAGCAGCCTCCCCGTCGCACCCCCAGAGCTGCCCGAGGCGGCGGCATCGGAGGCAGCATCAGAGGAGGCGGGTGCTGACACGGGGGACAGGGCCACCAGGCCATGTGCCTTGCTGCCGACCCCCCGCACTTTGCCGCTCACTCGGGGCACCGGGTCGGCGTTGAGGTCGATACGCACGGCGTCACTCTGGGGGAGAGGGGGAGAAGGGGTGAGAAGGGGAGAGGGGCCGGCAGGGTGGGTAAAGAGGAAAAGAAGGATACCCAAGGAGTTGAATGAGAACGGCAAACAAGGTTGACAGGCTCCTTGGCGAGAGGGGGAGGGGCCGGCAGGGTTGGGGGAAGGAGAGCGAGGGCTGTGGCTTGACGGGACGGGATGTGGACGGGTCCGGCCACCCATTTTGCAACCCATGGTGGTGTCTACATGTCACATGGTCGGGGTTTCCTCTCTACCCTTCCTCTCTCCTCCTCCACCCCCCTCCACCTAATGGCTTGGCTAATTCGGGCTGGGCGGGTCGGGCTGGCTCACATGTTGACGCAACCCATTGCACCCATTGCAACCCATGTTCACGCCTTATCCCTCAGTCAGTTAGTTGTTTCCTCTTTACCCCTCCACCTCCTCCCTACCTACCTTTCCCAGGTTGTGCAGCACGGCCCACACCGCCCCCGTCTCCAGCGGGGCCAGCGTGTTGACGTGCTGCTTCAGGGAGAACAGCCGCATGGAGCGGAGCTGCGAGGAAGGGAGGACGTGAGGGGAGAGGGGAGGCAGAGAGAAGGCAAACCGAATGTTGCTGCATGTTGGGGCAAAACATGGGGGGGGTAGTGCCCTAATGCGTATAGGGTAACTTGCGGTGGACTGGGGTAGTAGGTGAATAGAGGTGAGAGAGGAACGGCAGAGGGTTAGCGGCGTCGGGAAGAGAGTGCAACCCGAAAGAGGTCAGATGACCCTCGCTGGCGCCTTCCCGCCCCTGTCCCTGTTATCCTCCGTTCCCCTCCGTAACCGCCTCTCCTAATCCCCTCTCCCCTCTCGCGGCTCAGCTGCAATGCCTGGATCCTTGGCCCCCCCTGACTAATGGTGGGATGGGATGGGCCAGGTCCAATGTAGCAACACATGGTGAAGCCTTGTCTTACAGCTCGTCAGTTTCCTCTCTTTCCCCCTGCCCCCACCTTCTTCATATCGGGGTAGCGCAGCTCCTGCACCTCCCCGCCCTCCGTGTTGGCCAGGTACACCCGGTCACCGCGGCGGACCTGGGAGGGGGATGGGTGGGGGTGGGAGGAGGTTGGGAGGTTGGGTGCATGGATACGGTGTTAGGGACGAGGAGGAGGAGGGGGAGCGAGGGAGAGCGAGGGAACTGGGCTGAACTGGGGCGGAACTGGGCTGGACCAACGCAGTAGGCGTGTGCCGAGAGAGTGTGGGAGGACGGAACGCGCAGCACTGCTTGCGTTCTGCTGCGTTAAGGCCACTTGCCATGGTGGGTCCATAGCTTTGTTTGTCGTAGCGCTCCTGCCCTACACCGTCGTATCGGCAGCTGTTATTCCCTCACCGGTCACCGCCCCCCCCCAGCCCCCAGACTTATCGCACGGTTTCAGCAAGTTGTTTCCTCTTTACCCACCCAGCGCCCACTCCTCTCACCGCATCGTGCGTGAAGCGCGAGTGGATGCGCACCCGGCTGACCTCCGAGCCTACAGGGGCCGAGGGGATGAGGAGTACGGGGGTGAGGAGACATGCAGGCAGAGAGGCACACCATGCAAGCCTCGAATCAGCAAGCAGCCTGTTTAACTCAACAGCTCACACACATGTACGGGACTCCCACATTCGTACCATGCCCCACGAACTCCCCAGGCCATCCTTGCACGTGTGTTCATCTGCTGGTCGTACGACCCTTCCCGTGTGCCATGACCCGTGCCGTACGGTCTTCCCGGAAGCGTCCCCCTATGTAAGGGCCCGGGCACAGACCTGTTTCCGCGTCAAACTGGACCAGGAACTCCTCGCTGGTCTTAGGGTGCCAGTTATGCGGCCGGATCACGTTCCAGACCGTTTTAAGACGCCCGTCCTCGCTGCGCTCGCCTGGGAAGATGCCATAGTGCACACCCTGTGGGTGGGAGCCTTGCAGTGGTTGGTGCGGGAGTGAGGGACCTGAACGGGCACAAATGGCAGGTCCATGACCACATGGAACCCACCTCGCCCTCGTGCAACACCTGCACCGTGTCGTTCGCGACGTCATACCAGAACAGCCGGTTATGGCTCGCTAGCAAAAGCTTCAGCGGCGTGCCAGGTATGCTATGTATTTGCGGCCTTTGCCGCGAACCGATCCGCTTGGCGTCCTTTGCACTTGTGCCGAGCGATCTCCGCACAGGTTCCTTTGCCGTAACTGAACTCTTCAGAGTTACCGAGTCGGGATCTTTAACGTAGATGCTTAGCGATAGCACCGCGAAGAAGAAGAGACCAGCGGCGAAGAGCAATGACAACAGCTTCCGGGCCCGCGGCGACAAGAACTTTAAATGTCTGTAAGCATGTCCTAGCTTGCTTCGTGGAGCTGCAACTGGTGTCGGCATGTTGGCAGAAAGTGGACAAGGTGTGACGACTACTCAGATCATATCGCAGTTAGCAATGTTTTCTGCTACATGAAAGATTGGAAAGTAAGTTATTAAGGCAGAGTAAACGGATGGATGGCAACCTTTGGGTGTTTCTATACTTGCACAGGTATCCCAGCACAACACCACGTGCGTGGTACAGGGGCAGGCGTCTATGTTTATTAACAAAATGCTAGTGAGCCGTTCCCGAAAAACGTTTCCTACCATAATCCAACTGGTATATCGTTTGTAATGCACACCTTGGAACGCATTGGAACACGGAACACGGTTGAGTTCTTACTGGATCATGGTTATTAACGCTTTCTATAATATCAATTGCTATTCCACGGTTACGCACAGCAAGACATAGTCGTCCTGGGTTTCTAGGGCTTGGTTTCGTCGCACCTGTATTCTCGCACGAGGCGCACGCCTTGCTGTGGAGTGACGACTCTACGTTATGCTCTAGGCCGATAGGCATCAAAATGTTAAAGCAGTATGCCAAGTTATGGTGAGTGTTCGTTACAAGCCTGCGCAACATGTCCAACACGTAGAGACGTTTCGTTACCACGCCGCTTGTTTCCAGGTATCTTGGTTTGCGAGAATCGCTTCTTGTCCACCGATGCGTCGTCTTCCTCGTACTTGACAGCAGCAGGGCTCTCAGGGTGAGGTCAGCTCCGCTGTCACCTCATTTTAACGTCTTCGCAGAACCCAATCCCCTAACCTTTCAAATACTCCCCAACTTGAATTGCATCTTGCAAGTCACTCGTAGCGTTCTCACCGCTACGCTTTGTTGGCTTTGTGGGCTGTCCTCCCACATGCTGCAACACCCTGCATCGTCTCTACTCAACCCCGACGGCCCCTCCTCACACATTGGATCTCCTTGCTTAACCCCCCAGGCACACATAGGGTGTTCTTATTCCACCCCGGCATCCCTTGTGGTTCCATACTACCTTCTGCCCTTCTTTTGTCTAAACCCAACTACCTGGCCCCCCTCATGCCTGCGTCAACCCTCCCCCTCTGCCCCTCGCTTGCTCCTCCCTCGGCCTCAGCGGGAGATCCTGCACTGCCTGCTGCTGAACGGGGGCATCCTGCTGGGCAGGTGAGCGACGCATGCAGCAGGGGTTTCGGGGCGGGGCAGGGGGAAAGTAAGTGAGAAGTGCAGCAACTGGAGTCCCAACTGGGACCATATCCGGATATATGCAGTGAGCGCACGCAGGGGGAAGGGAGGGGCATCATCTGGCTCCTTGTACGGCAGACGCACAGCCCCGCAGCTACCCAGCTGCGCGGAGGCTCCGGTTGAGCGACCCCGGGAGTATGGGGACCCACGGCTCCCGCCACAAGTCCCCTGACCTTCCCCCCCTCGCTTTCCACCCACCTTCCTTTCCCCGTCGCCCTCGCCCTCTCCCCCCACTCCCCTGGCCCCCTTCGCTCCCCACTCCTCCCCACCCGATGCATTCTCATTCAACGCATTAGGACTTCCTCTTGTCATCCCCACCCCATCCCCACCCAGCATCCTGCTGTGGGAGCGCGCGCTGCTGCCGGTCGCTGCCTGGCTGCTGCGCTACCTAGTGGCTCCCTGTCTGGGGGCGAGCACGCAGCGGGTGGCGGGGGCGCTGGCGCAGGTGGCATTCCAGGCGCTGTGGCTGCTGCCGGTATACATGGTTACCATGCTGCTCAGCTGCGGAATGTGGGTGAGGGGGAGTTAGGGGCGTCAGAACAGACCAAACCTTGGGGGAGGAAGGAGAAGTGAAGCACAGAGTCTCATATCCGGGCTCATCCAGTGAACGCAAGAACCGAAAGGGGAGTGAGGGGGGTTGGATGTGGGTCGGGCGATTTGGGTCGGGGTGGACGGGGCGGGTTGGGTGGTCGGGGGACATCCGAATGACGGTTACGGTGATCCCAAGCCGGAAGGGAATGCGAGTGATCCGTCTGTCCGAGCCATTTCCGACTGCCACCTCACCCGTGCCAAGTTTCTGTCCTTCCTCATGCAGATACAATGACATTGCCCGAACAGCTTACCAAATCAAGCAGGAGCAGCAGCAGCGCCAACCCGCTAAGGAAGGACACCTGGCAGGCACAGGTGCGCTCCAAGGGGGTGCAAACCTCAAGAGGTGCATGAACCGCTGTCTCTTGTTTCTGAAGTGTTGGTGTTAGAACCCGCTGCCCATTCTATCATACACACAACAATTGGCACATGGCCTCCGCCGCATGCCGTGTGCCGTCCCCTCCTCGTCACTTCTCATTGTCCGTTCTTCGTGCCCTCGCAAGGCGGCCGACCCATGGGTCAGTCTCCTGCCGGCAGCGGCGGACTGGAGGATGTGGCGCAGGAGGTATACCGGGTGGTGTTGTTCTGCGTGTTCTTCATGGAGGTCAGCGCAGTGGGGCGGCTGCCGTACTTCGGTGAGTGTACGGCATTGGGTGGTTGGGTGGTTGGGGGAGGGTTGGGTGTTCGTTTGGGCAAGGGGGATGTTAAGAGCCTTACCCGCTTGCTGAAGGAAAGGCGAGAGGCCGCATGAGGTCGAACCTTGCATGCATGACGTTCCGAAACAGTTGTTGTCTGCGTTCCTCTTGTACCTGCTCCTGGTTGCCCTACCCAAGCTCGCTCATTCCCTTCCGCCTCCCTCCCCCTCCCGGCACTTTCCTCTATATTTTCCCCCTCCCGGCCCCCACATGACACATTGGGTATTCCTCTTTTCCCCCTCCCGGCCCCCAGGCAGCCTGCTGAACGTGTTGTTCCTGTCCTGGCTGTACGCCTACTACTGCTTCGACTACAAGTGGGGGCTGCAGCGCGCGCCGCTGCCGGAGCGACTGGCGTACTTTGAGAGCCGTTGGGCCTTCTTCGCGGGTGGGTGGGTCTGCATGGGCCTGGGGCGGGGCTGCCTGGGGTGGGTCTGGGGATTATTAGGGGTACGTATCCCGCATTTGGCTGGATTGTAGGGCGCTAGGGTCCGGGGGGCTGCGGGGTGCCGGGAGGGGGCTTCGAACCGATGGGCATTCCTGGGTCTGGGGGCCTCCGCAGGGTGCCGGGAAAGGGGAGGCCGCAGCACTTGCTGCCTAAGGCCTCCCTCGAGCACATGTCCCGTCGACTCCCATGGTTCGCAAATCGCAATCCCTCTTTACCCCTCCTCTCCGTATGCGCTCGCTGCATGGGTCGGGATATGTGACTGGGACTCCAGTTGCTGCATTTCTCTTCTCCTGTCCTAACCATCTGTGTGGATCTGGAACCCGCGCACAGGCTTCGGTCTGCCCATGGCGCTGTCCACGGTGCTGCTGTCGTTCTTCCAGGGGGCGGCCGTACTTGCCGTACTGTTCCCAGTGTACATCCTGGTGGCCTGCGACTCGGACGTCAACGCGGTGCACGGTAGGGGGCTGCTCCAGCATCGGGGGGGTAGCATGGGGAGGGGAGAGGCCTCACAGGGCGCTTTAATGCAGTGGGGAGGGGGTTTCGTTGGCAGTTCGTTGTCGGGTGCAGACGCGCCACACGGGAGAAGGGCCGCTCCGACTGGCCGCTGGTTGCTGCGCCCGCTATCTTCTCTAGACTGCACCACCCCTCTCCCCCTTGACGCCGTCCTGTAGCTGACTAGGCCGGTGCTCCCAACACTTCATTCCTCTCCGCCTCCTCCTCCTCCTCTTCCGCAGATCGAGTGGTGGGCCCGGGCGGCAGCGGGCGGCTGCCCCACCTGCCCATCTTCGCGCTGGCGGTGTTGCCCACGCGGCACATCGTGATGCTGGTGACGGGGGGGTCGGGGGGAGGCACGGAGGCGGGCGCGCATGTGGCAGGCAAAGCAGGGGCCCGCGGGAGATGAGGAGGGGCGCTGGTCATGCTGCTGTGTGCAGTGGGTGGCGGCTGTTAGTGGGGTTTGGGGTGGTATGAGGTGCAAGGGAGGGCAGGGCACCGTTTAGCGGAGTTTGGATGTGGGACGGAGGCGGGGCATCGGGGGTGCGCATGGTGGGGCTGAGAGGGCTTGGTTTAAGGAGCGAGGAGGTTGCAACACGGGAAAGCGCAGGGCGAGGGCAGTATAGGAGAGGAAGGAGAGGCCTTATGCAACAAAAGTTGCCCAGGACGTGTAACTTCTTATGCAACAAGAGTTGCCCAGGACGAGTAACTCAACAACAGTTGTGAGTATTCATTTCTGCCCCAACTTCATTCCAGCAATCCACGTGGGCCACAGGATTGCTGCGCGTGCGACATTCAGCTTGCGGTAAACACGGACACATGTGGCCGGAGGCGCGTAATCATGTTGAGTTCCATGGCAAGCAACCGCAGTCAACAGCACGTTCAGGTTTTGCTGCCGCATACCGGGTTTAGTGACGCAGTACCATACGACGCCTGCTAATACTTTTCGGACCCTCGGGTCAGCCGTCTGTTACATGGACGTAAAGCATGCCGACATAATCACACCAAGACAACTAGTTATATACTTCGAGTTGAATTCCATCCTGCGAGTTGGTATCATCCTATAAGCAGTTTTACCAACTTACCGGAGCTGCGACTTAAGGGCGGCACTAGTTGCCTTTCGCAATCCGCTAATAGTAACATGCCAGCAAGACAGGAGCGCAGACGTGTAAAAATTCGCGAAAGCATTTAAGTGGTCCACGGGACTAAGCCGGGCCCACAAACTATAATCACTCCAAATTACCCTGTAGTAGTACCATGGGCGTTTGGATAGTAAGCTGGGCAGGATTCGCATTAAATAGCAACCGTTCGAAGTTGGAAAACGGCACTTGCAGTGGAAAGCTGCAACAGGAAGGATAGGGCCAAACAGAACACGTTCTGCTACTTGGTTTACAGCAACAAGTCTTGCGCAGAGAGCCCGCGCATTGCCGTACTTTGACATTTGGGCCCTACCCTGCAGGAGAAGAGGCGGCTGGTCTTTCCTTGTTCGGTCTCAAATTGCTAGGGAGGCAGAGGTTTTCCTTAGGACGGGGGTTAGTTGTATTACTTGAGTAGGGGCGGTCTTTGACTTGGGGAAAAAGGAACATGGAGGGCCAACAGGATACCATTCGCCTTGGGAAGCGCTGCTTCGTCGGCAACCTTGCCTGGAAGACTTCCTGGCAGGACCTCAAAGACAAGTTCCGGGAGGCCGGCAACGTCGTCTACACCAATGTTATGCGCGACGACGATGGTGAGGGCGCACTTTGGCCAGCCGCCCTGGGCACCAGCATAGGCTCCAGCGTGCCCAGCAGCACTGGGAATTATCATTTGGACAAAATCGGACTTCTAATTCTAATTAGCGCCTAGACACAAGTAAACGGCGGCTTCTTTCCCGCGCCGGGTTGGGATGATCTTGGTGGTCTGAAAGAACACCTTTGCTTTGGACGCAGGCCGCTCCAAGGGCTGGGGTATCGTGGAGTTTGAGACTCCTGAGGAGGTGAGCATTGGCTGGGGGCCTGTTTGGAAGACGCTGTCAGCCTCTTGCTTGCGAGTGCCCTTCAGCCCGGCATCGAGCCGCCTTCTTTTCGCAACCTGGAAAGATATTCTAGGCATATACTATACTTCCTTTTTGCCATACCAGTGAAATTTTTGTGTCGGCTTGAAAGTGCTTCAGCATTGTCGCAATTGGCTGAAGACGATTGGCCTAGCCTTGTCGAAAGAAGTAATACTCAATTTCACTTTTTTCCTATCTCTTCAGGCTCTGCACGCTATCCAGAGCCTGAACGGTGCGGAGCTCGGTGGCCGCCGCATCCTGGTTCGCGAGGACCGCGAGGACCGCGACGTTAAGCAAGCTGACGGTGCTGCTGAGGCTCCCCGTGCCCCACGTGCTGGCCGTGGTGCTGGCCGTGGCCCCGCCAACGGCGGCCGGGGCGCTGGCCGCGGTCGCGGTGCTGCCCCTGCTGAGGCTACCGGCGAGTCCAGCGGGCTACAGGTTAGTTTTATATCGACGATGTTGTAAGGGCATATGGCCTTATAACGACCGGAAGGCCTCTCTGCACTTCTGGTTATGTTTTTTGAGGTACTGGGCTTTCACGGTTCTAGCTGCCGGAATAGAATTATACATAAGTACATGTTCTATAGGTATAGAAATCGAAACATGGTCTGTTTCCTTTGTTTCGACGCCCTGAGAGGGGTGTATGTATACACAGGAAGTTACCCTAGCGTGGAGTTTTCGATCCGATGCATGCAAACGCGAGGAATTGAGGGACAGCTCTGCCTCTTGGGCCGTGGATGTGACGAGGAACGCCCCTTGCTTGTGTGCAGGTTGTGGTCCAGGGCATCCCATGGGCCTACACGTGGCGCGAGCTCAAGGACATGTTCAACGAGATCGGTGGCGTTGAGCGGGCAGATGTTGTCACCGGCTACGACGGCCGCAGCCGGGTATGTACATCTGAGCTGGTTCCGGGATTCTCTGGGTCTGCTTGGGTTCTCCGACATGCAGGCACTTGACGCTTAGGGGCCACTAGCTCCCATGGATTCCCCTGGGGTTGCACCATGGTAATCCTACCTCGTTCAACTCGGCTTGTTGTGGGTCCTGCTTTCTTCCAACGCAGGGCTACGGCACCGTGAAGTTCACCTCGAAGGAGGCTGCTGAGGCCGCTGTTGCCCGCTTCCACGAGAGCGAGCTCGAAGGCCGACGGCTGGCGGTGTTCATTGACCGCTACCAGTAAATGCCTGCAACTCGACCGCAACTAGGTGTTGGTGCGGGCAGCAGGTCTTCGTGCTTGCTGCCCAAGCCAGCGCCCAGCTAGCAATGGCCGCAACGGGTTTCTACATGACGGCTCTTACGTGCGTTGATGGCAGGTAGACCATGGCGAACCGATACAGTGTCCTGTACACCAGTGTGCGTCTCCTCACCCAGGGCTGTACATGACCTCTCCAGTGAAGCGGAACGCAGCTACATTTTGGCCCGGCTTCACGGGTTCGTTTTCGGTTGCGTACATGTTCGACGTCGAATGCGTGCCCGTGGGCTTGGACTGGTTTTGTCGACGGTGGTCTCAAGCTCATGCAATGCCTGAGAAGCACAGATAGGTGCGGAGTTTTACGGTGGATTGTGGTTTAGATGACTACGTGTGATATGCTGAGGTTTTGGACTACGAAACGGCGAGCAATGCGCTGAGGGACTGTGCAAGGCGGCCAGGTGCTGCATGGTGGCATTCGGCCTCAACCTACAACACGATTCGTCGTATCTTTCATTGGATTAGGCGCACACCAAACACGCTATATGGCGTGCCGCCTTCTGTGCTGCTGTCCTGGACCTGACATGGGTCTTCACACTACCGAAGCCCCAAACATTGCATCATCTATTGCCATGTTTTTACGCGTGCAACGGCTGTAACTGATTACGCGTGCGGCATGGACTAAAATCTCGGCGTGAATTCTCTTATAAGATTTGAATAGGTACGACGAGGATTGTTACACTTATCGTTCTGCCCCTGCTCCAACTGCAGCATGATAAGTGTGCTGCACCCATATCAACACATGAGTAGCAGGCTTACCATATGTCCCGGCTTCTTGTACCTACCAGAAATACCAGTATTGAAGTAGTCGCAGTAGAACAGCTAGGACAGCTCTCGGCGGCATTTAGAAACGTTACAGCACAAGCCTGTTACAAAGTCTTTTTCGGCGTCACCCCAACAACGATCCACTAGCATTTCTACTTTCATGCATTAACCAACCGGTGCCGGCGGGCCTTCTTCTCCCTCCCCTTGTCCATGCACCGCCAGTGTGCGCGATACCAGCGCCTTCATGTCCTCCAGCACCTTGGCCTCCTTGCGCTTGTTCTCCTCGTAGTTGAACATAGCCAGCGCAGCCTTCTCCTCCGCCGTGTAGATCTGGTTCTCCTTGCGCATGCGGATGGCGTTCATGCGGCTGTGGCGGCTGCCTGACATGATGTAGCCCAGGCCCTCAAACTTCTCAATCTGCTCCGAGCTCAAGCCCACCTCACCACGGCGGGGAATACGCTTGCCGCTAGCCACGTAGGCCGCCATACTGCACAGGGGTTTAAACGTGTGGGCCGAGGGGGGTGGGGGACAGCGGAGCGGCGGTAAGAAATTGACAAACAGACTGCTGGTGCAGCTGCGCACATCAACATACATCTCTTGTGTAGTACGGGTGCCATAGCGCTGCGTCGTCACGCATGGCCACAACATCAAAGGCCCACAGCTATACCGTGCAGAAGCAGTCCGCCCTGCACCGCTCATCTTCATACCCAGAGCAATCCCGCAACCCCTGCATCCCCAGCGCGCGACCCCCGCACGCACCGCTCGCCCTCGCCAGGTCGTAGGAAGCCGCCAAAGTTGCCGCCTGCCGCCGCCGCGCGGTGCGTGTCCGGCAGCTGCGGCCCCACGTCCTCGTCGTCCACCGCACCACCCTCCGCCGCCAGCGCTTCCCTTCTCAGCCGCTCCGCCTCCGCTGCGGCCGCGTGCTGCGCTGACAGCCAAGCCTTGAACAGGTCCGCCTCCTGTAGAAGCGGCGAACGTGCAGGAAACGCAGGAGAGAAGGGAGAGTTTGTCGGTTACAGCATGTCCTGTTACGGCATGTCCTGAGCGTGGCAGCAGCAGTGACGGCGGGATCTGCGCTAGATCTCACATGTCACACTCCTGGAAACCCCAGATCAGGCATTCGAAGGCACACAGCTTTCCATGACGCATTCCATGACCCACCTCCTCATCGATAACCAGCAGCTCCTTGTTCGAGGGCGGCTCAATGGAGGCTGCCCGCCCGGAGCCCGGGGCGCCGGCAGCGCCTCCAGGCTGCTGCGTGCGGGCCGCAGGGCTTGGGGAGCGACCGCGTCTGTACGGCAGAGTGTTGTGCGGGTTGTGATTTGGTTTGGTTTGTTCACGCTACTCTGATACTTCTAGGGTTCGGTTGAAAGGTCTGGCTGATGGCGTGAAAGGGTAGAGGTGCCTGCAAGGCCGTGTACTGCGGCGCCGCACAAACAACTCCCAACCTTTCTTCTTCTCCTCCTCCTCCCACCACATGCTGCCCAGCCCAAGCCCACTACTCACTTGGCCTTGGGTGCCTCCTTCGCGCCCACCGCGGCAGCACCCAGAAGCAACACGTAGTCCTTCCTGCATGCCGCGGGCAGCAGCGACAGCAGCAGACATGGTGAGCACCGTAAAGGGGAGGCGTCGAAGGTAGTATCAATGCGACACGTATCAACCCAGTCGCGGCCAACACAGCCACACCGCCCCTTCTTTCCTTCCCAGCTCCGTAACCCATCTGCAGCTCTGTAACACTCACGGAATTTCCATCTTGAAGTCCGACCCTGCAGGCGGGCTGGGAGTGGTGCGCCAGAAAGGCTTCACGTTCCGCTCAGCCATCTTGATGCGCTTCAGACGGCGACTGCAGGTGAGGTAAGGCAGCGGAACAGCCAGGGCGGGGAGAAACAGAAGTCGCACGTTAGGGAGGATTACTGAGGAAAGAACGCACCTAGGCATTTCAGCAAGCTATAGGTGTCCCTCGCGCCCAGTAACATGCCCTTTCAACAGGGCATCGAGGTCTGTAGCCCCAGCATGCGCCAGCACCCTCACCCCTAGGCCCCGCTATACATCGTCCTGATTCAGTCATGCCGCTGCCTTGATGCCCATAATCCCAGTCTGAAGATGCCAATGCCTTATCATAACAACCGCTTTCCAAAACTTACTACTCCTGGAAGTTCCCCATGGCCTTTGCTCGGATGTCCTCGTCGCTCACGTCTCCATCCATTGGGCCTGGACCCGCGCCGCGCCCAAATGCCGCAGGCAGGGAACCACCGTCACAACCGCCGTCGTTGAAGAAGGGAGGTGGAGGCGGCCGCCCGCCATGCGGCGGCTCCCAAGTCCCTGGTCCGTTGCCATTGAACCGTGGTGGCGGAGGGGGCATGCGCTGCGCACGTGGGGAAGGAGGGCTGCGGGAACGTTGTCGGCGGGGGCTGGGGGAGCGGCGGGAGTCCCGGTTGTCTGGGCGCCGGTCGTAGTCTGTCCGTCCGCTGGGCCCGGGAACATCCCTATCGCCCCGATGGCTGCGGTCTGGGTCGCGGCTATAATCCACGACCCGGTCCCGGCCCCGGGAGCGATCTCGCTCCTGATCACGCTCACGGCCCCGGTCGCGGTCCTCCCCGCGGCCACGGTCCCGGTCGCGGTCATGGTCGCGGTCATCTCTCCCTAAATCTCGTCGGCGGTCATCTGGATGGCCATAGTCAGGAGAGCTTCGCCGCTTCCTTGGAGGCGATGTAGACCTCCTTCTTGGCGACTGTGACCTGCTCGGCATATGTGGCCGGCTCTGAGGCTGTGGCCCCTTACGATGGCAATTGTTTTGTTCCAAAAAGGCACAAGTCAATCCTATGCTGCAGCTGTTTGGATGGAGACAATGCTGTAGATGTGTATACACTTAACACTTGAAGAAAAGCTGCAATGAGAAAATTCCACGGAAATTGGTCTTGTTGCAGCTCTGGTTCTGCTTTTGCAAAACAACAATAGGATGTCAACGCAAGCTTTGCTGAAAAAAATTATAGACTAGATATGCATAACAATGAAATGATCTATGCTTTGCGTGTACGACAACCCTCGCACCCAGGCAGCCCGGTTAGTCATCCTCTTTCCCTTCACACGCTGCGTGGGCTGTGCACATGTGCAGTGTATTGCAAATCGTGGCGGGCTAGCCCGGTTACCCAAAGGCAACCCAGGGGCAGGCGCATGGAGAGCCAGGACTCGAGATACCGTACACAACAATTTGCACTTTCGTGACTGCAGCCCGGTCGCGCAAGCGTGTTACAGGTTTGATGCAAAGCGCGAAAACCCCTTACCCGAGCTCCCCCAATACCAGCACAGGTATGCCTTAGCCCGTACAACGTGTGTGTAGCTCAAGAACCCCAGGGACAGACCTCGGGGCGGCCCCGCGCATTCCCCTTCCAAGGGTCCACAGGCAACATGCACTAATCCCGAACGCATCCTGCATAGTTGCTTTCTTCAAATGGGGCTGGCCACATACGTCATGTCCATGTACGGTAAGAGATGCGAAAGAGGTGTCTTCGTTGGAAGCATCAGGGTCGTCAACTTGCACCACTGTCCACGCCCCTGCCATTGCACGTTCTTCAGTTTGCCAGGTAGGCTTTCCAGCAGCCGACGTACTATGCACATCCCAATCCTGCGGCCAAACACCTTTTGGCGCTTCCTTTGGGTACCAATGTGGGGACTGACAACCGCGAAGGCTGAATCCCCCCTCCCCCTTTCCCACAAGAAAGCACTAAACTCTTCTGCACATCCATGCACCTCGCTTCTCCCTCACCGTCAGCCCCCGAAGACACCCCCATCTAGCCAGATGCCATCATGCTTGCAAGCAGCCCAGCCAGCTCAGGCATCTTTCCAGCCCCGCTGCGGGCTTGAGCGGCGCGCGCCTCGCCCTCCCGCAGTGCCTCCTGCGCCGACTGCGACAGCGCCGCCACTCGCCGCTGCAGCTCGCGACGCTTCGACTCCAGCTGCGCCGCAAGAGCCTGCAAAGTCAAGAAGGGAAGGAGGAAAAGCGAAAAGAGATGGTGTCGAGTTGCCGAGAGAAGTGGCCGCGGGATTGCCTCAGGGGCTCATGAACGAGGCGACATGGACGGGGGCGTGTTTTCTTCAGCGGCCGTCAGCTATCGCATGTCAAGTGACAACGCGTCGACAGACATCTGTTTGAGAAAGGCGCCCAAAGCACAGCACGCTCTCCTCCCACCTGCTTGGCAGCTGCCGCCTGGTTGAAGGTCTCGGAGTAGTCCTCCCATGCGGCGCTCAGCTCCGCGGTGTGGCGCTGCTGCATTGCCTCGATGGCGCTCAGCTTGTCAGCCAGGGAGCCCTGTGGGGGTGTGGTGGTGGTGGTGGTGGTGGGGTAACAATTAGGGGCGGGGGTAAACGGGCAAGTCAACGGAGCCACGAGAGACAACACTGGCTTATGTGGTGCATGGGGGGCGTGGACGCATGGACGACTGGTGCATTCTGTAGGAAGCAGTGTGGAAAAGGTGTACGGCAGCGGAGCTCATTTGCTGCCGGTGTAGTGTGTTTTCCTACCGTACCTCAATCTGCGCCATGCTTCGTCGCGCATTGTTCGCCATCGCCGCCGCCTCCCGCGCAATGGTCGCCTCCAGCTCCTCCGCCGCCTCGGCAATGCGCTGCTGCGTCTCCCGCAGCGCCGCCGCCTGCGCCGCCGCCGCGCGACGCTTCTTCTTCTTCATCACCGCAGCCAGCAGCGCCTGCATCTGCACAGCGTCGTCGCCCTCCTCCTCACCTTCCTCGCCCTGACTGCCTGCCAGGGTCCGAATCATCGCCTGCATCAACGCAGCGGTGTCGGGCTCCTCGCCGTCGCTAGCGTCACCGCCTCCGGCGGCGGCGGCGGCTGCGCCGCCGCGGCCCCGGCCGCGGCTGCCGGCAGCCTGACGGCCGCCACGCGCTGCGCCTTGCGCCGCCGCCGCCGCTGGCAGCGAAAGCCTGGCGGCAGCGCTGGTGCCGCTACGTCCAGCTCCAATACCGCCCATGCTGGTTCCACCGCCGCCGCCGGTGAATGCTGATGCGGGTCGCAAGCCAGATGCGGGTCGCAAGCCAGATGCGGCGGCGGAGGTGGCGCCTCCAGGACCTCGGATGCCCGCCATGAAGGGCAGCGGCTGCAGGGCTCGAAGCTTGCTGGCTGCGGGGCGGAGGAGAGGGAAGCGTGCAGCAATCGTCTAGCAACTTGTAGCAGGTGTGGAGTTTGAGGGGCGGCGGCACAGCACAAGACACCATTCCCTTCCGAGCAATGCCTCCCCTTACCGATACGGAGAGCTCTCACATGCTAGGGTAATGAACACGGGCTTTGGCGTCCATCTTTTTCGTGCCATCCCTATCATCCCGCTCACCTGACGGGAAGCTCAGCCTCTTGCCACCACCCGCAGCGCCGGCCGCTCCACCTTCCTCGCCTCCAAACAACAGCCCGCCATCGTCCAAATCTGCGCCCCCATCGCCACCTTCCTCATCGCTGCCGCCGCTGCCGCCGCCGCCACCGCCAAACGCCAGGTCCTCACTCTCCGCACGTAACCGGCCGCCAGCGGCGGAACGCAGCGGCACCAGCGGCTTCAGATGAGGTGGCGCCGCCGCCGCCGCTGCCGGTGGCGGCTTGGACCCTCGGGGAGGTTTTCCCGCAGGGGCTGTACCAGTGGACTGCAGCCTGGGAGGTAGATGGGCCGCAGCCGCAGCAGCGGCGACGGCAGCGGATGTCGCCTTGGGCGGTGCTGATAGGCCCGCTAGCCGCGGCAGCGGTGCGACAGCGGCGTCGCCTGGAGTACGGGCGCCACCGCCGACACCGCCCGTGCGACGTTGCGGCGGTGGAACAGTGGCAGGCAACGGAGGAGCAGCGGCTGCGGCGGCTGCGGCAGGAGTAGGTGCCGTACGTCGTTTGTCGGCTGCAGTACCCTTCGGTACGGCGGGCGAAACGGACTTGGCTGGGGATTGCTGTGGGCCAAGGAGGAGAGAAGCGGGTTAGGGGAAAGCTGGTGAGCGATAAGAGCACTGGCCATGCTTGACGTCGCATGCAAGACAAGAAGCTATACCACCCCGTTCACACAACATATAACAAACCCACATCAGTAGCGGATACCCTAGTCTGGTAAATGATACCCTAGTCGTAACAAAGCAAGCCAGAAACCTCAGGCCCTAAATCCCTCAGCCCCCAGCTCACCAGCACAAGCCGCATGGCACGTTGCTGCTGTCCTCCCTCCACGCCGCCGTCACCCGTGCCGCCAGCCCCCTCCGCTGCCGCCAACTCGTCCCCAACACCGCCGTACATCTCCTCTCCTAAACCTTCGTACAAATCCATATCCTCTCCGCCCGTCCGCAGCTCGCCAAGACCCACATCCGGCGCGTCTGCATCCACAACTAACGCCCGCCGCCGTTGCTGTTGCTGTTGCTGCTCCAGCTGTTGTTGTCGTACGCCCCCGTCGCCCAGCAGTACGTCGCCTTCGACGCCCATGGGTGGCCGTTGACGCGACCGTTGGCGGTTGGCGGTTTCATCGTTGGCTTCCTCATTGGCTTCTTCCGCCTCTTCTTCTTCATCCTCTTCTTCCGCCTCCTCTGCCGCCATCTCCTCGGCGTCTACTTGTTCGTACCGGCGACGGAGCTCCGCCGCCGCACGAGCAGCAGCGCCCGGGCCAGCGCCGGCCCTGAAGATGTAGAGCGGAGTACATATCATGTACGGCAAACGCACATAATACGAGAGTACGAAGAGGTAATGCCCGGGCTCAGGTGTCGCGGCTTAGGTCTCGTACTTTCAGGTAAGCACCTGAAACTCGCGTTGATCTGCGCATTAGGCGTACTTAAGAGCTAGGCAACCCGCTTACCCTGCTTGTTCCTGTTGGTCCTCCGGTCCGGGCACATCGTCCGCTGTAGCCGGTACGACGAAGTCCTCCGCCGCTCCTTCAAATGCAGCATCCTCATCTACACCAGGAGCAAAAGCGCCGTCGAGGTTGAGAGGTCGAGGTACGGCAGGTACGGCTGGCGGCGGCGGGGCCGGCTGCTGCCGCCGTGCCGCTGGTGGTGCCGCCGGTGCCGCAGCCTTGGCAGCCGGGGCCTTACCGCCCGCTGCTGCGGCGGCCGCGGCAGCTGGGGCAGCGGCTTGTTGTTCCTGCTGCCTCTGTTGTTGCTGCTTTTGGAGCGTTCGCGGGGAGGCCTGGGTAGGAGCCAGCTGATCGGCCATCGCCTCTAGTGCCTGCACTCATGGGTGGTCCATTGTACGACAGGGGAAGGAAAAGGGCCATCACTATGCAACCTGCAATACCGGTATACGTAAAACTTGGCGCAATGTGTCACGGACGTTCATGAAACGAGGTGCATGCGCCAGAGGTAACCCTCATTCCGCCAACCCTCACCTTCGCCTTCGCTTGACGGCCGGGCCGAGCTGCAACGGGTGCGGGTGCGGGTGCGGCAGGCTCCGCTGCCTCCTTCCGACCTCCCTTCTTCGCCTTCTTCCCCGCCGGTGCCTCCGCTCCTTCAGCAGCGTCACCAGCAGCCGCCTGCGCCGCCGCCTCCGCTCCCTCGCCTTGTGCCGTACCGGCCCTGGGCCGCTTGGCTGCAGCCGCTTTGGCGCCAGCGGCGGGAGCGGAAGCAGCGGCCTTCTTACCACCAGTGGCAGGGGCCTTTGCCGCCGCCGCTTCCTTCTGACGGCCTCCGGACTTGACTGCAGCAGGGTTGGGCGCCTCCTGCGGCGACGCCGCCGTGTCGTGCAGCAGGCCAACTGCCGTACCATCGTATCCCGTAATCGCATCCTCGTCGACCAGCTCGTACTCATCCGGCGGCTCCTCCGCCAGCTCACCTGCCGTACGGGCAGTTGGCGGCGGCGCACTGACTTGGCCAGCCCGCCTGCCGTTGGCGGCAGCGCCGCCATCTGTTGCAGCCCGCTCGGCGGCGGCGGCAGCGGCCTGACGGCGCCCGGCGGCGGCAGCAGCGTTCACCGGCGTGTCTGGATCCTCAATCGGATCCAGGGAAAGCTTCAGAGCGGGCGA